CCTAAACCCGCCTCTAAACCTACCCGTCACTGGGTTCTAGACAAATCGTACAAAATCGTACAAGTGAGGTCGTATGAATTCATATGAATTAGCCATCTCGTAAAATACGTACAAATTGGTCATGAGATAGCATTGGAAAAGAAGTCAAGGTGAAAAAAAAAAATCTAAATTGTGAGATATAAAATGAGACTACTGAGAAAAAAGTTGCAATTACCCTTATTATTATTTTAATCCCGTGGTGGAAATGGCCTTCCATATGTATACATATAGCCTACATACACACACACACACACACGTACATAGTTATTTTAATATAAAAATAAAGAAGCAAATTACAAACCGTAAGACAAATACAATAGATACACATTCAATATTAAATAAACAAATTTTTCTAATACAGTAGGTTTATCATGTATACTTTATTTAACATCTTTTGTTGTTTGATTAACATTAATGAGACAGACAGGTATTTAATTAGGCTGCTGTCCCTTTAAAGGGTTAGTTCACTCAAAAATGAAAATTAGCCCACAAATTACTCACCCTCAAGTCATCCTAGGTGTTTATGACTTCCTTCTTTCAGACGAATCCAGTTGGAGTTATATAAAAAATTGTATTTGATCTTTCAAGCTGTTTAATGCCACTCAGCAGTTGTTGTATGCATCAGTTCAAAAGAAGTTAAATAAAAAGCGCCCATCCATAAAAAAAGTGTCTCACACTGCTCCGGGGGATGAATAAAGGCCTCCTTTAGCAAATTGATGCATTTTTGTAAGAAAAATATCCATATTCAAAACGTAATAATTACTTTAATGTAGCTTGCGCCAACAGTCCTAGACGGAAGCAGCTCCGGGCGGATGACGTATGAGGTCAGTGTTGCGCATGCGCCGGTGAGTCTCGTGAAAACCAACGTTTGTTAACAGGAGCAAAGGAAGCAAAGTTTCATTACTTTAGCAAAGGAAAACCAGTCTCCTCTTGGCTTATATCGAGATTCTCCGACATTCTTCTTTACACATCCTTGTTTTGTACTTCTAATAAGTGACCAGTGTTTTGTTTTGATCTCTCCCCTGCTCTTCCGCGTTCATCACTTCTGAGCGGCACATGCGCAACGCTGACCTCATACGTCATCCGCCCGGAGCTGCTTCCGTTTAGGACTGTTGGCACAAGCTACATTAAAGTGATTATTACGTTTTGAATATGGATATTTTTCTTACAGGAGGCCTTTGTTCACCCCCCGGAGCTGTGCGAAACACTTTTTACTTCTGAAAGAAGAAAGTCATATACACCTAGGATGACTTGAGGGTGAGTAATCTGTGGGCTAATTTTAATTTTTGGGTGAACTAAACATATAAACTGTTTTTCTGTTATTATTATTGCTATGTGCAATCTACCGAAATGTTTTCCTGACATTCAAACTGAGTTTTATCTTCACTTTTGCAAAACTTTTTCATCAGCCTTGGGTTTTGAAGTAAATTTCCCATTCTTTTTTTCCCATGTTTTTTTAAAACATCTTTGTAAAACAGTTCCAAGTCAAAGCAACCAGCTACAAGGTGAATCACAACATCACAAGAGAGAGACAATCCCATAATGGCTTCAACAAAAGAATACACCACTGATTAACAACCTTGTAGCTCACAGTAGGTCTGTCTTTAAAAATTAATAAGTCATCATTAATAATACATTTTTCTTATGGAGAAAATGAATGTGGTTTTTATTTCTGAAACCTGACTGTTTAATTAGCATTGTAGCATTTATCAGGCCTACTTAATACTCTGTCCCAATACAAAGGCATAGATTTTTAGCATGTTCTGTTAAACAGTTTTCATGTGCAGTGAGTTATTATCTGTTTATATTGACTACTTATCTAGCCGTATCTTCAAAGTGTTCCTGATAACGTGTTTTTCGGCTACAAGTGCCGCCAACACCCAGGGAACGGCATATTCGAGCGTCACTAGACCTACGAAGTTATACCTGAATTCTGAATAGTCCCAAGGACAGGCTCCGAACAGCCTGAGCAGAAATCCCCAACTAAACTCCCACAGATAGATTAAGAGAGTGTAGACAGTCAGCCTGACTGGTAGGGGGCAGTGTTTCTGCTGCAGCCTCGCACTTAGGCCCTCCATGAAGAAGATGGCAGAGCTGTAGATAAGAAGCGCCCATAGGCTTGTGTGGCCTGCGAGTCTGTGGTCACGGGTCTAGTACCAATCCCAGGCTGCGGTGAAAGCCAGCTCACAGAGGCACCAATGCAGGCTGTAAATGTACAGTTGGGCGAGAAGTGAGAGGGGTGTGGGTGTGATCTGCCCAGAGACGTCAATGTCTGCGACAACAGAAGGTTTTGTTAGCACAAGTGTACGTACTTGCCTTTAGAGTTTTTTTTTGTTGATTATACTTTATATGATTAACAAGTAAGTAAACCTTTGATGCGATAAAGGTTTGGAGGAAAACAATCCAGACAGTATTACGTGTTCTTCAGTGGAAAGACTAATGTGTTATTTGGCTTCATTATCTGGATGTATAAGACATATTAGTGAAGCACACTTCTGTAATCTCTCACTCAGTCACTTATACAGTAAATAGGGTGATCAGACGTTTCCCGGGACAGTCCGGTATTTCAGCTCTATTTTTAGTGTCCCGATTTATTTTGAAAAAATCAAGTTCTGTCCCGTATTTCAAAATTTCTTTACGACTGGGTGATCAGAGCGAGTAGTAGAAGTGTTCTGTCATGCGAGAACAGACTAGTCAAAGGTAACTAATCTTGTCGTAGAACAAAATTACCATCCAATCACAATTCGTTAACTTGCAGCAAGTGAAGGCGTGACAGGCGGAATCAAGCTGAATGACACACAACATGAAGCGCTCTCTGGGCTGCGCACCCATGCGATCCCAGTTCTGCGATCATTTCTCCTTGCACAATTGTCAAATACACACAGCTGTCAAAATGTCCATCGTGTGGAGTATCTCACGTAAATACAGTCATTTATCGCTTAAGTGAACGTAAGCAGGTGGGTCAAAACCGGATTATGTGTCAGTATATTACATTCATTCGGTCTTAAAGGGTTAATAACTGCCACTACAGGCAAGAATGGTTGGCACAATACCAAAATTCCGGCTTTGGTATGAAACCAGCTCTGGTACCTCAGCAATGTTACCTTAGGCAGCAAATTATCAGCCTTGCACAAGTGTTGGAATAAAAGTGTCAGGTCTACAGGCTCACCCTTTCCGTTTGCTCTGTTTATTATGCCATGTTTCACTTCTACAGCCCTGCTTTTCAACTAATTGAGGGCAGTGAACCGCATCTCACATGTTTACCTCCATTTCTATCACAGTGTGGCCAAGTGTGCTGGATAGCTGCCAAATATACTGGCTCACTTTAACCACACATTACCTAACACTACGTTAGCTTTTATGCTTTATAAAACTGCTGAGTAGCAGCACATTGTTGTCAGGCACCAAAATTGGCAGCACCATTCCATTTTACATTTTTGATACCTAGAGTACCAACAGTGTAGCCAGTCAGTTACGTATGACAGTTTTATGAAATTAATTTAGGTTTGACGCAATAGGAAAGATATGCGTTAGATATTTAAAAAAATTTAATTAAATCAAGCAATAGTACTAATTATGATGCAGACTTACTATCACTTTCATTGTATTTAAAAACCTTTTCAAGAGTTTTTTTTTAATCGACTTGCGCTTTGTCATGTATAGTGTTTAAAGCGATTTAAGAGCTTAGTTTCTTTAAAGGTGCCATAGAATGCATTGATACAATATTTTAAATTGTTCTCTGATGTCCCCAGAGTGTGTATGAGAAGGTTTATCTCAGAATACCCCACAGATAATTTTTTTATAGCTTGTTGAATTTGCCACTTTTAGGGTATGAGCCAAAACGCGCTGTTTTTTTTGTTTGTCCCCTTTAAATGCAAATGAGCTGGTGCTCCCTCCTCCCTATTCAGAATAGTGCGGAGCTTCAAGAGCTCATGCTCGCGGGCATACCGGTGTTACGGTTTAACTGGTGGTGACCGTGTTACTGACCTCACATTGCTTCCAAATGCAATTTTTAACTACCACATTCCTATTTACGATCATTCTGGTAGCACGTGAAGGCAGCATTAGTGAAAACAGGCAGAGACAATGCTAGCTTTAGCAACATTAGCCTTACAGAGAGCTAAGAAGCTCTTTTGGACAACAAAATATGACGGGTAATGCTTACTGTGTCTGGAGTCTGCATGTTTGCACACGAACTCCAGCGCTGAACTGACCCTCGTTTGTGAGGCAGTTCGGCGTAAAAGGTTAGCATAAATGGTCACATAGAGCGTCACAAATGGGCGGGACTTTCCCCGAGTATGACGTCATAGTAGTGAGAAATCTGGAACTGCTAGTGTGGAGAGACTGTTTATGATTTATTGGGATTATAAAACAATGAGTGGGTGGATTTTTACCATTATAGGCTGGTTGTTTTCACACACTGCGGCCACACAACTGTGTTCAAACACCTTATAAAAGTTATTTTTGCATTCTATGGCACCTTTAAGGCCTAATGGGGAAGTCGTGGCCTAACAGGTTAGAGAGTCGGACTCGTAACCCAAAGGTTGTGGGTTCGAGTCTCGTACCGGCAGGGATTGTAGGTGGGGGGAGTGAATGTATAGCACTCTCTCCCACCTTCAATACCACGACTGAGGTGCCCTTGAGCAAGGCACCGAACCCCCAACTGCTCCCCAGGCGCCGTAGCAAAAAAAAGGCTGCCCCCTGCTCCGGGTGTGTGTGCACTTTGGATGGGATAAATGCAGAGCACTAATTCCAAGTATGGGTCACCATCCTTGGCGTCATGTCATGTCACTTTCACTTTAATACAAGGAACATAGTTTTGTCTAATAATGTGTGAATATTATGATTATTGTGAACATTATACTGCGCTGGTACATAATAAAAACTGCATTCGAAAGAGTGTCGTTATTAAAACCGTTGATACATTTGTTCCTAAAGAAGTGCTCATGTGTGTTGATGTGTCTCAGTAGGGTCTCTTCCGTTCTGGGTCTTGGGCAACATACAAAGCGACACAATCTTGTGATCGTTTCCACTGATACCTAAAGAAGCCCACACACAAACACAGTGGTGTTAACAAGCAGTTACCGTCTTTCACACACACACTGGCATAAATACTTACTCAACTGGTTTTCTGTCTCTGAGATTTCTTATCCCTCGCAAACAGTTCAGTCACTTAGCAATTATTAGACTATTAACACAAATGCTCATATGAATAGCACACTCACTCTGTCTCTCCAAAAATAAGAAAACAATCCCCTATGGACAGGTTGTACTCCTTGCCATTCATGAAGATGCTGGAGGACCCCTCCTAAATAAAATACAACAAAAAATAGGAAAAGGAAAGTTTAAGACTGAAATAAACATGAAGGACAGAGGGAACATAAAAAAGATTACTGAATGAAGAATGGTGTAATGTGTTACCAGTTGCCAGATCCAGCCATCAGTTTTTCTCCTAGAGGTTCCAGATGTCCCAGGACCAAAGAGAAACGTCTAATGGGCAGAAAGTCAGCACATGCATTATTGCCAAAGCTCCATCCATTCATCCATCTATATAGACTTTCTCAGAAGTCAAATCTAAGACCCATTTCTCAATACTTGCACAACTGTAAATCAGTAACTTGTTTTCTTGCTACTCTTGCATGAGTTAAGCAAAATTTTACAGGACACAAATGTGTGAACCTAGTTAGAAAGTACTAAGGTTCAAGTTGCAGAAGTTCTGTTTCCTGTTCTTGTAATGGTTGAGTCCATTTGACAGACAGGCTCTGTCTCCCTCCACCTTATGCACACATCGATACTTTGCTGATGGGGAACTCCTCACAGTCAGACCTCTGATTAATGACCAGGATCTTATCTGACTGACTCCTGCAGGAAGTAGGACTGATTGGTTTAGCTAGGCTTCTTCTCCTCACCTCAGTCTCAAACTGTGCTCCAAACATATCCACCGGCTGACCACTGGCCAGGGCAGGCTTCTGCTTGTCCATCCACTCTCTGAAGCAGAACGGTGCCATCACCTTCATTGTGTTTAGTGGGTATGGGGTTGGCTTGATGGGTTCAGCTGCAAAAATTAAACGGTTACTGAATGCACAGAAATTTTAAATATAAGAACTATGTACAAGTAAGCTCAGCATACTGCCTTTGTTTGAAATCTGTTCTGATGAAGAACGTAAATTTTCCAGAAATGTTCATTTTGGGTGAACTGCCTTTAAGGTATCATGAGGCCTGACACTGACATTACTTATATTATTACATAAAACCTTCAGCTATAGAGAAGGACAAATCATTTGTACAGAAGACTCCTAAACAACAGCACTATACAGTAATGGCATGTTAAATGTAAGGGTATTTCACCTTGTTTCATCATGCAACAGTAAAGTGAACAACTGCATTTACCTGGATCAGGCTTTCCTGTTTTATTCTGTTTGGAATCCATAAACCTGACATATACAAATGCAACTCATTATTTGTATGTACATGCACATGCATTCAAAATTGAGAAGACTGAGGTACCCCAGGGCTTATACTGCATATGTATTTTAATGCCTAATTATAGTGACTGCAATAAATCTATTTTTGTTCTATTATTCGTTAGAATTACATTTTAAATTCATTATAAAGTATTCGGCTGCAGGCAAACCCCTATAAAAGTGCATATTTGCTACATGTAAACTATGAAGGCAACAAAATTACATGTAAATTACATTTACCGCCATATTTGGTTTTATCCTGATACAGATGAATATACAAACCATTTTGCTATCTGTATTTGGATAAAGCGTATATTTATATACTGTATATATTAGATTAGATTTCTGGATCATGTGACACTTAAAGGGTTAGTTCACTCAAAAATGAAAATTGTGTTATAAATTTTGCACCCTCATGTCGTTTCAAACCCGTAAGACCTTCGTTCATCTTCGGAACACAAATTAAGATATTTTTGATGGAATCTGAGAGCTGTCTGACCCTGCATAGACAGCAATGCAACTGAAATGTTCCCAAGTCCAGAGACGTAGCAAGGAGATCTTTAAAATAATCGATGTGACATCAGTGGTTCATCTGCAATTATACGAAGCTACGAGAATACTTTTTGTGTGCAAAAGAAAAAAAATAACACCTTTATTCAACAATTCATCTACTCTGCATCAACCTGGTACCATTTTGGAGAATATCCGCTGGATGTAAACAGCGTATGCTGTTCTGTGTCAGCTGCGTCACGCCGGATCTGTTTCCTACGTTGTTGTGATTTGATCTGAACGGATACAGTGTATCCGTGTGACGCAGCTGACACAGAACAGCATACGCTGTTACGTTGCATATGCAATAGCATACGTTGTTTAGTCCAGCTGATACTCTCCAAAATGGGTGATGCGGAGGAGACAAATTGTTGAATAAAGTCGTTATTTTTTTTCTTTTGAGCACAAAAAGTATTCTCGTAGCTTCGTATAATTGCAGAAGAACCACTGATGTCACATGGATTCTTTTACAGATCTCCTTGCTACGTTTCTGGACTTGGGAACATTTCAGTTGCGTTGCTGTCTATGCAGGGTCAGACAGCTCTCAGATTCCATCAAAAATATCTTAATTTGTGTTCCGAAGATGAACGAAGGTCTTACGGGTTTGAAACGAAATGAGGGTGAGTTATTAATGACAGGAATTTCATTTTTGGGTGAACTAACCCTTTAAGACTGGAGCAATGGCTGCTGAAAATTCAGAATTAGTTTTAAAATATATAAATATATTGTATTCAAGTACAATTTAAAATTGAAATTAAAAACGAATAAAATAGTTGCAAGAATATTTAACAATATTATTGTTTGCACTGTATTAAACATAACATATTAAGTCAATCTCCACAGAACATGAGGGTTAAAAGCAAATAATAAACGTACTCTTTGATGATGGGAATAAGTTGGGTTCCCAGGTTCTCACAGTAGAACCAACGTTCAAACAAGACATCTGTACTATTATCCACAAAGTACCTAGCAGAAGGGAAATGAAACCATCTTTTGTCACACACATCTTTTATCTTTTATTCCACAATCTAGCAGCATCTAATAGCACATCAATAACTGGTCTGGTTTGGCTCAGTTACAAAATCAGACACCAGAAGATTGCAGAGAACGGTTTGGACTGCCGAGAGGATTATTGGTGCTCCCCTGCCCACCCTTTAAGAACTGTATACATCCAGAATGAGGAAAAGGGCTCAGAAATAACCTTATATTTATTTGTTACCACCTACATCCTAGTACATCCCCGCATCTCATTCTATTCTATTCATATTCTATCATCTATAGCACAACTGTACATACAATGTATTTTATTTTTGTCTATTTATATTTACATATGTGTATTTTTTATTCTCATCTTTTATTGTCTGTGTGTTGTTGTCTCTGTGTACTGGAAGCTTGTGACACTAAAACAAATTCCTTGTATGCGCAAGCATACTTGGCAATAAAGCTCTTTCTGATTCTGATTCTAAATTGTAGTCCAGGTAAATGCACAGTAACATCAACAGGCAAGTGTATGATCTTGAGGTCACAAGTAATTGATCCCAATGCGTGTTGTTGGAGTTGACTTAAGAGTATGGTTAGTGGACAGGCAGACGAAATGTAGGATGGATGTGTCTGGGAGAAGTATCCCATGGTACCTGAGGCCATCTGTCTCAGAGCGAAGCCTCCTCCTCTCCACGACCAGCCCTACTGTGTTTGCGTATCTCTGAGGAGAGTGGGGAATCCGTGCTGGAAGCAGGAACATCTGAGAATAGCAGCAATATATAAAATATCTTTATAGAATAAAATGGCTTGACATGAATACAGTCTGTCAGACAAGCACTGAGACAAATCCAGATGATTCTCACCTCTCCTTCTCGAATGTGTATGTCTTTATGCTTGCCGTTCTCTATCACTTTCAAAACCATGTCACCCCTCACCTGGTAAAAGAGCTGCGACACAAAGGCAAATAAAACAGGAAGTCAGTGAGAGGAATATTAGTGTTCTGTGAACTGGATAACACATTTTTTAGCTTTCCTTGTTTGCCTTTGTTTGAAATCATCAGCCTTGTAACTTTGATCTGTATTACAAATGTAGTGCTGTTGTGCCAGAAACTCTTTTTCTGCAAGTGCGATTTTATTTATAGCCTTGGAATGAAACTTCATGGGGCGCGTTTCTTCTTCCAGAGAAAATCTATATCATTCAACCCTGTGAACTGTCTCTGATTTAACAGTTTTACTGTTAGACCTTTACAAAGCCTAAATTACACTCAACAGAAAACTTATGTAAGATATTGTGCCTCATAAGTAAACTCTCCTCATGTGTGGAATATCTAGAGCAAATATAGCCACGACTCAGATGGTTTGCACTGACCTCTAGTGACTAAGATTAAAACATTAACCAATGAACAGTCCTTACGGGCTAAACCAAACTAGGTCATTTTTTAAAGGTGTATTATTGTGAGATGCTCAGCACGAGTCAATTCTAGTAATTTCCTGCTGTTGTTTGATTTGGAAATGTGCCACTGTAAAGGTGCTATATAAATTATTTTTAATGCCATGCAGAAACTCTGTTTTTCTGCCACTGAAATAGGTGTCATTTACACATTTAAATGTATTCATTTATAAATGTATTCATTTCTTACAAATAAGAAATGCAACTTATCCCAGAGAAATGCTGCAATTTAAAGTTTCAAAATTGCTCAAAGAAGTACAGAGCAGAGATGAACGTGAGGGACAATAGTGGGAAAAAATAAGAGAGAGAGGGGGAGAGAGAGAGAGAGAGAGAGAGAGAGAGAGAGAGAGAGAGCTCAAAAAGTGATTCCTCGCTAGGGTTTTTATCTAAAACCGTGTGGGCCACATTCTTTCAGTGTCTCATAAGTCTGGATAATCCACATGCAGTGTGACTGGGCCTGTCTAAGTGCCAGTTCAGGAAAAAACAGGATTATGATCCACTCAAGAAGCACGCAGTACTATCTGCTATTCGTATCACTTATCTGGTCTAAAGTGGATTTAGAAATCACTTTTGAGAGAGAGAGAGAGAGAGAGAGAGAGAGAGAGAGAGAGAAGGCAGTAGTTAAAACTTTTTAAAGAAATAAGCTAAGATTGTCTTGATTTATTTTTTTCTAAATAAATAAATCATTAAAACTAGTTTTCTGTTTGTAAATCATGCTGACATTGGATTGGCTGGCATGTCATTGGAGGGCGGGGCTTTTGAGAAATGAAGTGTGGGTAAAGTTACCAAAATGCTAAAAGTTAGCAAAATGACTGACACCTTTAATTACCATAATATTACGCATGATATCATAATCAGCGTCTTAATGTTGATCTTGTGCAGGTTGTTATGTATTTTACTTTTATTGGTGGCATTATCTCTCCAGTTGCCACGCTTGCTTTTCTTGGCAAATAAGCGTCAAAGTCTACCGCCTGTCTTTACTGTTGTAAAGGTATTCCAAAACTGTAATGCAGCTAAAAATGTAATTAATTAATAAAAAAATTAAAAAACTTTTCACACAGACTTTGTCCCCATTAAAAAATGCTAAGTGTATTTGGAAAACTACTGCAGTCCATGTAGTGCAATGTAAGCCATTCGGTTTTGTGGTGCAAATCCCAAAGAATAACTAACAAGTTGAGAGCTTCAAAGCAGGTGTAGAAAATCATGCTGTCAATATCAGATCATCTTTGATTATTAGTTATGCACTCTTGTCCTATTCCTCTTCTTTTCCTGGAAAGTGTAATCCCACAGCTGCTGAGCCTAAAGCACTAACCTTTAGTGAAGATCATGGCTAATTCTGTTCTTATCACCTGTTAGCCTTCTCGGGTCTAATTCCCAGAATACAGTGCAGTTAATCAAAATAAAAAAGCAACTCAGCTACACTCTTAAAAATAAAGGTGCTTCACGATGCCATAGAAGAACCTTTTTGTCTAAATGGTTCCATAAAGAACCTTTAACATCTGAAGAACCTTTCTGTTTCACAAAAGGTTCTTTGTGGTGAAAGAAGGTTCTTCAGATTACAAAAAGTAAGAAAGAGATGGTTCTTTAAAGAACCTTTGGCTGAATGGTTCTTTGTGGAACCAAAAATGGTTCTTCTATGGCATCGCTTGAAGAACCTTTTGAAGCACCTTTATTTTTAAGAGTGTATTCTTAATAAATGAACATGTCATGTTAATTTGTAATATTATCTCATGTGTTACATGAATAGCACCTCACCTCTTCCCCTTCTTCAATGTGATAATCCTTCCTTACATTTGGACCACCAACATACATAATATTCAGTTGATAAAAGAACCTAAAACACAATGTAAAGATAAGGCTTGTGTTTTTTTGTGAGTATATAGTATAAGGCATGTTTTTGTTTGTTTATGAAAGATAAGTTTAACTCACATTAATTTGTTGCATACAGGTGGTAGAAATGAACTCTCATTTTCAGCAATCCACTTGTCAATGTTGACATGAAGAGACTGGTTGGTCATTTTTCACTAATTTCAGAATACAGCAAGATTCTTGCAATAATCTGTCTGAGTAGGCAACAACTTTCTCAGCGGTGGTTTATTCCATCAGGAAATTCGTGACAAACTACCTTTGAGTTATTGAATAATGGGGGCGGTGCTCATACATGCAGTATGTGACCGTGAGGTTGAAATCCATGTTTACGCAGCAGTAACCTATATCAGTGCTGACAGTGCAGCATAAACCTGCATTTCAATATAGAGACCATTGATTTACAGGCTTTTGTGTAGAATAAGTTCTGCATTTGCATGTAAATGACTTAGTTCTGATGGTCCAGCAGGTTCATGACCCGCTTCACCAGTCCATCTTAAGTTAAATACACTGAAACCCTGAGATAAATTAAAAAATGCAATCAAATTTTGATATTGGGCCTAAGACATCCACTACCCCCATTCAATATCCAAAATTAAATGCACAAAACTAATTCATTTATTATATAAAACATTCATCAAAACATATTCAAATACCAACATTCAAACAGATATTCTCACATTTTGAGTGATTTTAAAGGTTGTGTCGGATCAAAAAAAACAAACAAACAAACAAATATTGCTGTGAATTAATTTTGTCACTTAGTAAAAGCTGTTTAAATTAGTGCAGGTTAAAGGAGATTATTTCATTCTCAAAACCATGAACAAAATTAAATGAATGAATGAATGGCTTTGTCAAATTTGAGAGGTTCTGCAGAAAGAAGGCAGACGTTTTTGTGCTTTTTTGTTTGGATGATCAGATCCTAAAAAAATTGATGGCTGGACATTTGTGAGAATGTAGCAAGCAATTGAATATATATATGGCTGCAGCATCCTGACGATGTTTGGATGATGCAGTTGCACGATTTCTGCACTATTTCATCCTGTAGCTCGTCTCGGTGGAGTTTAATGAGCTGTTTAAAACAATTTCCTTACTATCAAAATATAATAAAAATAATAATAAAACAATGGCTCATAAACCAGGACACATTCAAAAAAAGTGAAAGTGAAACTGTCTACCTCAGTAACCTTATACATAACCTCTTGTAAACAGAAACTGGTGTAATGTTCAGATTCTAACGGATTCTAATGAATATGTGAATATATACCTGTACCACATATTAACGCTTTAACGCATTATTAATTACTCAGAGTTGACAAATCTTTCTTTTCCTTCTGTTAGACGTGATGTTTTCATAATTAACTTCATACAGTAGTTCTGTACATTTCCACTGAAATCCATCATTTTAATAATAAGCAAACCATATACATATAGAAATATATTGTTCAAATATTGTAATTGTGACCACAGTCTCAAAATTATATATCTGAAATGTGAACCATTTAAAAACTTACCAGACTGAAGGTAAAGTTATAGCGCTGGATACAAATAGGAAGTGTTATGAATTCAGTGATAGACTCTGATACTTAATTCCTCATTTATCATTTGCAGAGAATGCACAACGTTTGCTAGTCATCTTACATCAAACTGAACATGTGCCTTGCTAGAAGACAATGGGTTAAAGCAGAAATGCAAAGTACAGATCTTAGATAAAAGATGCTGGAAGTACATGCTGAGAGTGATAGTGTTAAAACACAAGTAGTGATTTCTGCCATCAGTAACACAAACAAATGAAGCTTCATAGCATGATTTATTCATTTATTTATATACTCTGTATGTTATATACAAGCAGTCTTAAAAACATACATTTGTAATTTTCACTTCAATGTATGCATTTCATGTGTATCTTGTAGCTGTAGTTTAGACAGATACTGTATATGAACACAGATTTGATGGCCTTGTCACCATGACTTTTCTGTAAATTGAAAGGATAACCACTTCTCCTTTTGCCACAAGTAGGCGTGCCTCTATAGCTTCCCTGGGATCGCTAAATGGCTGACTGATATTGAGCCACTGAGAAAAGTGAGAGGTTTCAAACAAAAAGTGTAAATCATACAAAACCCAACTAAAATGGTAATAAAATAGTTTGCCCGTTGACCAACACATGGTACTTTTTCACATTGTCACAATTTATTCAGATGTATTACTTTATCTAAGTGTTAATGCACTGATCTAAATGCTTTCAGAATGATTAAGATCCCTGAAACCTGAGAATGTACGAATATGGAAAAGCAAGAAACGGAACAAAAAGAGAGAGGCTGGTAACACACAAATAGAGATGTGTTTATATTAGAAAAATTGAGGAAGAAGCCAGTTAAAATGGGAAGAGAGCATAAAGGGCACAAAAATAAATATGCATGCCAAATAAATGGGACATTTATTCGGAGCTCAGAACAATAGCTGCAGTTTTCAGAATGCAGGGTGTTTGGTGGAAGAGGAGAAGCCATGTAGGGAGTGTGCGTCAGTAGACATTGAAGAGTCAAAACTGGAAAGCATCCTGAAAAATAACTTAAACTGAAATGAACCCACAGCCTACCGGAGTTATTTCTGTTGTCATGTTATTTCATCACTGCGGCTTATTTGCATCACCCTGACAGCTCCTCTACCCCATTATTTTCTGGCTGCCGCGTTCACTTTTATATATAGAAGACCATTCATTTTAGAAGTTGAATTAAAGAGATGGGTTTCAGCAAAGGTTGTGAATTTCATCTTTTAAATTTATTTAAATCATTCATTTTAAAGTGGTGAACATGATTGTCTGGTGAACATCTCCTTCTCTGGGGAAATGGTGATGTTTTTATCAGTGTAGATGCGGACAGATCTGGACCAACTGATTTGTTTGATAAGCCAATGTAATTTATATTGATAAAAGACCTGCATGGCAACCCCAGAAGACCTTTCTCAAACAAATAAACAACGAGTGAGACTTTGAGTTCATAATGTAGCCTTTTAGGTGACAGATTACTCAAGAAGTAAACCGGGCTGTATTAAAGGAACGTGACTTGATGGGCAGTGCATATTTTCTCATAAAATACCTTATATGGCACTTGAGTTTGTCATTCTCATCTGGAAATATTACAATATCGCCCTAGAATTAGGCTACTCCCGCTTTCACTTATTTAGCTGTAGCTTTGGTTGTAAACACTAGTGAGAAACGTTTCACAGAAAGTAAATGACCTATAGAGGGAGCTAGAGTATTCACAATAATTTCTACCTAACGTTACCTACACCCTTAACGATTCGAAACGTAAGTGCACTAACGGTACCGTATGCAGTGTTGCCAATTTGGGGATTTTGTAGCCAAATTTAGCTACTTTCTCATTGTAGCTGCGACTTTTTTAAATTTTTTGCGACAAGGAGCTATTTTAGCTATATTTAAATAAAACTAGCGATTTTTTTTGGAGATTTTGTTATTTTTTTACTTGGCCACACCCTGCCGTAGGCTCGTGACCGCTCACGTTTGCTCTCAATCATGCCAATGAGTCTGCGCAGAACACACCAGTACGCCACGCCTGCCATGACGCACACCACAATTTCATTATAAGCATCAATCAAGATGGCGGAGAAATAATGAACATCTTTTAACCACGGACACAAAAGTTATACCACAATTCATGCACAGTCATGTCAACCAGATACTGAGAGAGACACACAGTGCATCATCGTGTCATGTGTGCTGGGATGCATATATATATATATATATATATATATATTTACTTTCCTTTACCTTTACCAAATTTACCTGTATTTACTTTGTTTTCATATTTGGCGACTTTTTGTGAAAAATGGAGACTTTTGAGGGTGGTTCTAGAGATTTTCTGAGGGAGGGGTTTGGCAAAACTGACCGTATGGTAAAACCATAGACTGCATAAAAACCAGTGTTGCCAACTTAGCAATTTTGTTGCTAAATTTAGCAACTTTTCAGACTTCCCTAGTAACTTTTTCTTCTAAAAGCACCTAGCAACAAATTTAGCAATTTTAAAAAATTGATTTGGCAACCTTTAGCAACTTTTGATAAGTGACTCATTTTCCATCCAAATTACACAAAAAGAGGACACCACAGATGCCTAGCAGTACACAAATCACATTAATTGAGTTAGCTGCTATTTGCAATTGTTCAATTTAATAATAATAATAATAATTGAATAATTTGATAATTGAATAATTGTTCATTTATGATACACTTTGTTAGTAGCTTGTACCTGCGATATTGTTGATCAGTTAGTATACTGTAAGAAAATGGAAAATCTTTCAGGACATTCTCCATCATCCATTGTAACCCTGTAACCCGAAAACACAATGCGTAATTTAAAATGCAGGTAAAAAACCATTACGGAAAATTTCATATTAACATTGTAGATTGTGCCTTATTTTCACAGACTTTTCTTAGAGTGTAGCATGCTGACTAACTACTAATACACTGCTTAAAGCATATTAATTGAGAATGTGTAGAATTACAAGTTTACTAGCTATTAAAAAAACTTAAATTGAAATCCTTAAAAAATGTGTACGTTTTTCAATAATTCAATGTATTTAAAAATACAGTTATTTATATTTTTATATTATATTATGCATTATTTTACAAACAAATCTAAATTAACATATATAACATATATTTTTTGCTGAGATTTGACGATGTGACAATTTTGCGTCGTGATTGCGCAATGACATCACAACGTCATTTAGCAACTTCTAGCAACAAATCGACCTTCCTTTAGTAGGGATGGGCGATACCACTTATTTTGTTTTCGATACGATACCGATATTTTTCAAGGCAGTATCATCGATATCGATTCGATACTTCTGAACTAAACTTTTAAATTATGAAATTACTAAGAGTAAAATGGGTAATGATAAGCACTTAACTTTATGTTGAAAACGCATTTTAACATTCAATATGCCTTAATTGTAACTTATTTTTCAAATATGTTTTTTGTTTACACATGATTCAAATCTATAAATGCTACAGTTGAACTACGGTCACTTTAGTAAAACCATGGTTCATTTTCATAAGGGACTGCCAGTGACCGGCTGTTGCATGCATAAAATGTAACTTTTTTATTCTGACAGTGTATGATTTCTATTAACATTACAGAATAGAACATGATCAATATTATCTTTCAACGTTCAATTTAAATAACTGTAATTGCACAAACTATGTAGGCTACAATTTGACAGTTTG